AAAAAACTACAGATAAAATATTTACTATTTAATTGGACCATATATATTTAAATGTTATTATATATCACTCAGCAATAGAAATCGAAGCAGTTTCAAAACAGCATTATTTCACCCCAAAAATGTAAACTAAAGGTTTTTTCTCACCTGTAGCTGGTTGATGAGGACAGAGATCTGCACAGCAACCTCTTTGTAATTCTCCACCACCAGGTTGTAGGCGAAGGAGGCGCCGTAGACCCAGTCCACCACCACCACGTTCACATCCTGCACCTTGAGCAGGGCCTGGGCCAACTCCTTCACCCAGGATGGCTTACTGCCCATGGCCCTGTGGGGGAAGAGTGGAGTAGGGTCAGGGATGGAGGAATGAAGCAAGGGATGAAAGGGATAGGTGGGAGGAAGTAGGACAACATTCACAAACAATTATATCTTAAGAAAACAAAGCTGCTGCATCCAAATTTGAATTGTCTTCTCTTATAGGGGCTTCAAGATGCGTAGTTGTTTAAAAAAAGATTAGGAATCAAATCCACGCATTTTTTCTAGTGTGATGGATATGCACACTGTCCACCTTCTTTAAAGGACCAGTGTGTAGGACTTTAACTTATTTTCTATGTCTTTTTTCCAAACTTCATTTCATTATTAGTTTGATCACTGTTATCTTTGGTGTGAATGGAGCATAGATTGAAAAACAACAAGCAAAACATTAACAGAACTGAGAGTTAAGGTTGAAGTGATAAAAAACTAAATAACGGACAGCTTGTTGATGACATGACTGCACCTGTGCTCCAACTCTCATGTTGTCTGTTCACAAATTCTATTTGTCATTTATGGTATTATTGTTTCCTGCTGGTTCAGGGTTCTTGTTTATTGTTTTGGTATCAGCTTGTGGTTTTGAGTGTTTATTTTAACATTTCTGGTTATTGTTTTTGTATTAGGGTTTTAAAGTATCAGTGTTATGTATTGTCTTATCTGTAAATAATGAAGCCATTAACCCATTAAGGCCTGGTTGGCTGAAGTTGGTTGTCTTTTTCTTATACATCTTACATATGTCATCTACTGTGGTCCAATATTGCCTGATGATTAGTATGATATGATTTTCCTTTTTCTTATAACATTAAATATTTATGATTTTTTTTTCATTATTTGCACATACTCTATAAATGTATATATAACAATATAATTTAAAAGAAATAGGACAATGTGCAGGAGAAGTCTGAAGCCAAAAATGGCTTATGAAGATAGGGAGGCTTTATAAATATAAAGCACTTAAAAAAGAGAACAATTGATAAAAACAAAAATTGCAATCCATCATTTAGGCAGCTGAAATACAATATTAATAGAAATGATCATGATTACATAAGCAACAAGAGAACCTGCTTCATCAGGACTGTGTGGTTGTGGTTTAAGTGGATTTGACTAACGCATCAACTTATCATCAGATTGTCATACAAATGTAGCATAATCCTGATTCAGAAATCTGTCAAAAGAAATAACCAGCTGTTGTTCTCATTGAGACAAAAGGCTTTCAGGGCCTTTAAGGGTCTCCTCCTCACCTGTACCCGTGGACGATGACCTTGGTTGGGCGGGACCTGTTGAATTTGGAGGATGGTTCAGTGAGAGACTCCTCGTTGAACGCCTGGGCGCAGTCCTTGTTGTCCCTGGTCAGCAGCAGGTACTGGACCTGCAGCTTGACTCTCTGCTGCCGGTACTCCAGCCAGGTGGTGTTGTTCAGGTCAGCACACTCAACAGCCTCCTGCCTTTCCTCTACACCTGCTCCATTAGAGGGAAATAATGTCATACTGAATGGGCCTGAATGTGGAGCGTTGGTCCCGAACATCACAAAACAGCAAACTCACTCACACATGTTGAACTGGTATATAGTGTATTTGACACTGGATGATGACACGACAAAATGTTACATAAGGGAATAATCTTCAAGATCCTCTTCATATCTCTAATAATATACAATACTACATTTAGATATACAAGTCAAATGAAATATAATCAGTTGGGTGACTGATACATTATGGTGAAATAATGTTTTTTATTTTTATTTTCTGAATACATGCATTAGAAAAAATATGTTTTTTTTAGATCAGAAGGCCCTGACATCATTGTATTTATATGATGCAATGTTCAAATTTGTAGTCAACTTTTGTGTTCAGTGAAGGTTCATAACATACTGCACTTAATGTCCAACTGAAACTACTTGTGCAGTCAAAAATCATGTCAGATTTTCAAATGTATTATTTGTATATTATATTAGCTAACTCATTTTTTTTAGAACTAAATTGTTTCACAATGCTGTATTACACTAAGTACTCATGCAGTGTTACGTAATCACAGTATTGTACTAAAACAGGCTCATAACAAAGCTTAATCCCTCTCCACCAACTTTACATATATGCATATATACCTGATGACAATACATTTGTAAATCTGAAACATGATTTTTTTACTGCACCTAGGGATGGCTTTTGTAGTTTCACTTTGAAATTAAGTGCAGTACTTTAGAAGAATAGTTTAGTAGAATATTATAAAACTTTAACATTGCATCATATAAATGCACTGAAATCTAATCCTTTTTTAGATTTTTCAGATCTAAAAAATGCAATTTTATTCTACTGTGAAACAATGTTTGTAAAATACCAAAAAAGTAATGCGGAAGAAGAAATCTCCTTTGTGAGTAGACCACTTACCCACCACCAGTGATGTGATGCAGACAGTCAAAACACAGAGGAGGATCGTTCTGCGTTTCCAAGGCATTTCTGTACCAAGAGAGAGGTGAATAGGGAGAGTTGCTGCCCCTCAGAGCTTTAGCTAGTGCTTAACGATGCTCAGCTGCTCTGTTTAGCCCCAGACTGGTGAATGGAGATCAGCTTTTGGCTTGGGAAAATCCCAGCTCTGTGCAGGGTTGTAACTCTGAACCGACCAATCAGCCTTTAACTGGCAAACAGTAGGCATGAAGCGAGGCAGGAATCCATATGAAAATGTATCTAATGATCCCAACTTCTTTTCTTGTAAATTTCACTTTTTGCCTGACCACGATAAACCTTTCCCCGTCATTTTTCTCAGTCATCACATTTGTGATTTTTTTTCTTTCTCCCAGACTCGGTTTGTACTGAGCCGGCAAGTGGTTGAAAGTCTTTGCCTGGCAGTGGATCTGTGACCTCATTGGTGTTCAATGGTTGTTTGTTTGAAAAGCTGGACTCTGGCCTGGCTGCCCGCTGGGGTAAGCCTGAATGTGTGTGTGTGTGTGTGTGTGTGTAGTTGTATGTGTGTTTGAGAGCTAGTGTCACAAAAAGTGAGGAGGGGTCATGCTGTTGTGTCTGAGGGAAATCAATCATTATCTGATTGAATGTTCCACCACGGTTGCTCTTTTATGTAATCATGCTCTTTGTAAACATGCTAAAAATACTCAGTGGATTTAAATTACTGTAACTGTTGTGTAGGTAGCTACACTTATGAATACGCAATATGTTTGACTGGAACTTGCCTCTGCAGTTTTAAGGTAGTAATTACACAACAAAGGTCATCCTCCTCAAGAGAATTTTTTGGTTGGCAGCCATTTGTGTTTATCACATAGTGATTTGGAGCTTATATTTAACATTTCCACATTAAAGTGTCTATAAACACTGGATACTGTTATATATTTTTGTGCGTTGTGTTCTAACATTATTCCAAATGTTTCTAACAATGTTCAAACCCAGATAGATCTGTAATTGTACCATCGGTTGCCTGTCAGCATGCGTCATATCCCCTTTGTGCATGCGTCAGTGTTGTGGTTGTCTGCCAGAAGCTGTCATGAATTTACTTTTTATTCACTTTTAAACCACATTTTTTTTACGATACTCTTTTTAGATCTTGGTTGTTCTTAACTTCATTTTAACCGGATGAAGGATTTTAGTCTGGATCTTAAGTTATCAGAGAAACAATAAGAAAATGTTAGCAGCTGGGTATGTTTGTTTCGGAGAGGAAGAGACCTTTGTGTACAATTCGGCCTCGGTAGAAACCTTCTAAATGAACACAGAAAGAATCCTAACTGGGAGAAGATGACTGCAGTTGCAAGGACCCCTGGAAGCAGAAATACATATTGTAGGTTTAAGATTAAAAGTCTGCTTGCTTCATACCTCAGAGAAAATTGACGCAAGGCAAACTGTCCTGTGGATGAGTGCCAGGTAAATTAATATATAAACAATATCACATGTAATTAAAAATTTACAAAGAATAAGAGAGTTTTTCACCAATAAACTTTAATAGTATACACAGCATATTTCTGTATAGTACTTGAACAACA